GCAAATTACTCGAAGATGACATTTTGCATGACTGTTTATCTGTCAGTATAGTTTTTACACCAACAACTGTTGTAAGAGATCCTATAGCTTGCTACAAAAATGCTATGTGCCTAACGTTGAGTTATGTATGTATTTCAGTGTAAATGACAGTATATTTATTCATGGATAACTATAATCTGCACTTGATAACTTAATAATGTTTCAGACAAATTGGTCTATCGACACTTAAAAGTATTGCGTTTTAGTCGAATACTCCTACTGGGAGACATATTTTTGTGCTTCTGTCTATCAACACTTCTTAAATGGTTTCAGCAAATAATTAGTTTATAAATATCAGTACCTATTTTGTATTATCTAAAATCTTCGTTCTATCAAATAGATGTTGACTCTGCCACTGCCATGCAGAATTACACATTTAAGCAAAACACAGGGCCAAACATACATTTTTGAAACAACTGCAGTAATGATATAAATTTATAAATAAATTAATAAGGGAATCTGTTGGTAGTTTGAAAAACACTACATGCTACAACGATTGCTGCACCTTGTATAGAAATGTAAACGGGCTTTTAGACCTCGATTATGGATATTTAATGAGGATATTGTAACAATTATATGGAAAAAATGGTGATGTGATGGGTGAATGTATGTATTTTTTTGCTAGAGACACGTTTACATTTTTTTTATGTATACTGAGAAAGCTACGCAGTGGGTTCGAAGGGCAATCATGAAAGGGCTCATGTGCTATATATATTTACACGTAATACATTTTTGAATGGTAGTGGATCTTTCATTTCAGTTTGACTCACTCTACTGTTTGCTATCCCAATAATCCATCCTGAGCTGTGAAATCATCGATTTAAAATACCTCCACAATCAAACGTTAGAAGGCGCCGCTCAGCATACAGACAAGCTGACAAAAATACTATTCTACAGCTCTTTTTGGTTGCTGATTTCAAATCTGGGGTTGGTTTGTCTCTATGGAGACACTTGAAGATCACTTCAAGCTCATATCAACGACATTTTCGAAAGAAGCAGAGCAGTTGAACTGAACCACTTGTCATTTAGGTCTTTGTGGATCCGTATCAGAGGAAAATCAGTCACTATGAGGGAATTTGAAGTGTAACTTCAAGGTCACCTCAAGGACAAATTCAAAATAAGTGTAGCATTCGAGTTTAGGTGCGTGTCATATAAGCTTCTGAGATCGTCGAGTCCAAATCTGAGACCAGTTTGTCTCTGGCAATGCATTTGAAGGTCATTTCAACGCCACTCTAAGGACTAATTCAAAATAGTTGAGTGTAGGGTGATATCGCCACTTGAGCTTCCTCCCGGAGGGGTGAAGGGGTGGTTGGTGTGGTGGGGTAAGGGGCGGCGGGTGTTCAAATTCCGAGTCCACTCAATGACCATCCTCATACCATTGAAAACGTGTTGGTTCCTTGTCCACACAGCCGTCGCGACAGAAAGCAAAATATTATCGGACTATTCCCCAGCCGCAGGCCATTTCTTAATAGGTCAAGACAAAGTGGTCTTAACGTGCTTATTTTTTTAAACGATGTCATTCAATTCTGTATGGACAGAAGCCTATTTTTTGTAAATACTGATGGAAAGCACAATGTTTAATTTGTCACACCATAGTTAACGTTAAGTCATCGAGTATTCACCGACATTATGTAGACAAACATTCTACCGATTATGATGACATTACTGGCGATGAAAGATGAGTGCGGATTGATGAATTGAGGTCACCCCTTCAATGTTATGAAGAGGTAATCATAGTCAGATGTGCTGATGGAGGCGATACTCAGAATTTTCACTGCTAAAACCATTGTACCAAATATTGGAAAATTTGTTGAAACGAAACGCTGTCAGAGATCATCTAAAGAATAAATGTGTTTACGTTTACCAATCCAATTGTCAACTCGAATGTCACTCCGCTCATTCTCCTTTGGGGTTGGGAGCCGATGAGATTAAATCTAACCACATCGTGGATTCGACTAGACTCGATAATAATATGTATTCTTTAAGTAAATGAAGAAAAGGGCTTGATATGCTTGGGGTGAATCCTGCTAAAAGTACCTCTTATATCGACTTGAAGATACAAGGTGACGGTAGGATTCTACGATAACCTATACGTATATCATATTCATTTTACATATACTTTCAAACATCTAGTAGCCATGTATCATGCTGACAAACTCGAATGAGCTTTTGAATGCAAACATAAAGCATACAAACAGGGGTATTATTTTTATCTATACCTATTTGCATTGACTGCTCTAGCTTTCAGTTGGTACGTTAGGAGCTTCTGGCGGAAATAAGTTTTTCATTTCAAGTTTTTTCAAATGAGCCTAAAATTTCATTTAAACGTATGTAGGCTTCATTGGATTCTACCAAGACGGTGAGATTCTTCTTTCACGCTTTATCTTCAAGACGGTTTGATAGGTACTTTCGATAGGATGCGCCCCGTCATACTGAGCTCTTCTTGTTCATTTACTTAAAAACTACATACTATTAGTCCGCGATGAAGGTAGATTCAGTGTGACCAGCTCCCGCACCATTTTTATTCGCCGAGAGCTACGACTACCATAAAACCTTTATCGCAATGTCCGATGTGTATGCTGCTGTCCCACCAAGCAGCTATTTTTTTTCTGAGAATTATAATACACGTATGATACATGTTATATCATTTAAATCAAAATCAACTTTACTTTTTAAAAAAATTTATTTGAGGACAGTAGCGACTGTCCGTTACAAACGTTTACAATTACTTGACTTGACGGAGTCTAACCGGGTATTGAACAACATGAAATGGGCGCAAGGCCTATTTATACTATTGGTGTGCTTACAAAGCACTTCTAGAAAATAAAGCGTAAACAACGAGTTAGCGAGAAGTCGTTATCTGTTGCTGAGCTAGCGTCTGGTGCAACATTGTATGGAACAGTAAGTCCATTGTTTTGAGTGCATATAATAACTTCCCCCTATTACAAAAAGTTGTTGCCATACGACAACTTTTGACAAAATTAGAAAAGTGTAAAAGATGTAAAAATTCAAAAATGTAAAAATGTAAAATTGTAAACATTGTAAAATATAAAAATATAAAAGTAGGACTAATAAAATTGCAAAATACAAATTGCAAAATAACATCAGAAAATATAGATTCTGAAAAATAAAATTGTTAGCATAAACAAGTAAATGCTGAAACAAAACGTTAAAAGCAAGGCGTACAAAAATGTCATTAAAAATGAGAAGGAAAATTGATTTTTCACAATTGGAAATTTTCACTCACTGAACACTACTGTAGTTCAATTTCTTCTTCATGGGGTTGGATGGTTGGTCTTCGACGTGGAAAAAGTCTGGGGATGTATCTGACTTTCGACGTTCCTGGTGACGGTCCATCAGCTGGGTAATTTGATGCGCAAATACTGAGTGGTCGGCGTTTTCTGCACTTGCAGAAGATGTAGAGAGCTAAGATGATGGCTAGCAGGGTTATGACGACGCACGTAAACCAGGAGATATGTCGTGAAACAAAAGGCTCATTAATATGTTTGTCAAGTTGTTCGGAATACTGGTTCAACTTGTGGTTGGCGATTTCTAGCTCTTCTGTATCGATCTTGGTTAGCTTGATCGGTTTCAGGTTCGGCAAATTTTGTTTATCAGGGAGATGATTGCAGCATTCGTACGGTATCCCTACAGGGTGGTTTCTATAAGTGATATTCTTATAAGCGTTAACAGAATATCTGGCATGAAGCCTTGTAGTGCCTATGAATCCACTGCATTCTGGCTGCATTTTCAAACGTGTATTAGCTTTGATCACCTTTGTATTTATTTCGTGTTGTCCGCATTTCATTGTGATGGGCAGCGAGCTAGATATGGTAATCAACCAAAAATTGGTTGCTAATTCCTGGATTTTATAATCCTGCAGAGCCACAATGGCTATTTGACATGTTGCTGGCAGATCGACCGGATTTCGCAACAACTGTGCTTCGCAGACTGCATTGATGTCTATTGGATATGGTAAGAGGTTAAAACAGATCTTAACCTGTGATTGGAGAATTTTGCAACTACCCAAATTTTGAAAGGGGACGCACAAAAGAGAATCGCTATCTTTGGCAACGTATCTCTGTAAGGTAGAAATTACATGAAATAGACCTGTACGTTCATCTAAAATGGGTAGAGGAATCGCTCTGTATAAAGTGTAAACTTCAGGTTCTAACAAGTGGATGCGTAGGACGAAAACTACTTTTGTTTTTGTTTGAAATGCTTGAAGTTCCATTAAATTGAGATATTCTGATACTGTTGCCAAATTGACTGGCATAGGTAAATTGTTTTTTGATAAGGAATGAGATATTTCTTGAAGAGAATTTACTAAATCTTAAGGAGTAATTATTGAAGGATGAATAATTTTCAAACGTGCAAAAGTAATGGAATTGAGAATATCGTTAATTGTTTCTTCTAGAAACATATAACTTTCCATTAGTTGTTCGCAAAGTTCCAATAATTGAAATCTAGCTTCATAAAAGGCAAGATCATCTGAAATTTTATAAATTCTATTTTGAATAACCTTTATGTCTTCGTTAAAAGTAGCTTCGTCAATTTGCAGTTTCTGAATAGTATTATTGAAGTTCTTAATAACCGACATGGTTACTGAGATCTGATTTTTCATCAGGTTTTCAAGCTCATGTTCGTCTTTGGTTTTCAAGGAACGGGAAATTTGGTAGAGAAGGCTCGTATGTGTCTTAATTTCGCTTCTAAATACTTTCATGCGATTAGTAGATTCATTTACGAGAGCGGTTAAGTGTTCCCGGATATTATTGTTATCGTCGAGTGTCTTTTTGATTAGTTCAAGATATTTGTAAACGAGTAGTGTCCAAACTTCGTTAGAAATTTTGAGAGGGCCATCTTCGTGGAAGTAAATACCTAATGTGTTGTTAATGGGTTGGATGTCAATCTGGGCCGTACAAACAGCCGCAAGAAACAGCAGGCTGCACCTGGAAGAGAAACTAAGTCTCAAAACTGACTTTAGTTGTTCTGTTTGTTTCTGGATTTTTGAGCAATGCCGAATTTTCAAATACTTGAATGTCCTCATATGGTCCATCGAATTTATTTTGAAGCTTATTGGAAATTTGGGATTGTTTGACAAAGACTTTGTCACCAATTTTGTACTTTTGGAGGTTCGGTGATTCTCTGTTATCGAAACGAACCTTAGCCTTTTGCTTTTGTTCGTCCGTTCTGGCACGGGCTATTTTATAATAGTATTCGAGCTTATTCCGAATATCTCGAAGGTATTTAGACATCAATTCCTTTTCATGGTAGACGTGTTCTGGGGGACCACCAGATGTATGTCCGAAGACAAGTTCGTAGGGAGTAAATCCTATGGTTTTGTTCCTTGTGCTATTGTAGCACTGAACAGCATAGGGTAGGATATTAAAGGGGTGTTCGTTCGGATTTTCAGATACGTGCGTTCTAATCATTTCCAATAAAGTGGCGTGGAATCGTTCGATCGATCCATTGGACTGGGGGTGACTGACGCTAGAGAATGTCATTTTGATATCATAAACACTACAGAGGTCTTTCATAAGAGCATTGTCAAATTCTTTGCCATCGTCGCAATGTATTCGAAGGGGTGTACCGTAATGTTGGAAATAAAAAAGAAGTATATTCACGACAGATTTAGCAGACTTGTCGTTAATAGGGTAGGCTTGGGAAAATTTTGTAAGTTCAACTCGGATTGTAAGAGCATAGCACTGAGGCGGGACTTCTAGAATGTCAATATTGATGCGTTCAAATGGAGCTTTTGGAGTTTCTGTAACGACCAAAGGGGTACTGAGGTTTTTTCGGCAGATTTTAGTTTTCTGACAAATTTCACATTTCTTGATGAAATGTTCGACATCTTTAGTCAAACCGGGCCAATTGTATCGTTCACGGATACGTCTGAGTTTCATTAATACCTCTGTGGATATTATTCTTACCACAATGGTATTGGTCTAAAATGATTGAAAGTTCATCAGGGCTTGGGGTTTTAGTTACATTCTGACAAATGACAATGTTGATACTTTCGTCGGAAAATATGAAAGAAAATATTTCTTGGATGGGCAGATCTAGGTTATTTTCGACGTAGATTTGTTGGGACAAATCGAATATACCTTTGTTATTTAAAATAAGGGTGAAGAGATGTTGTACGCAAGTCGCAGGATCGTACGGCACGGGAATTATATAATATTTCCTATCTTTGACAGTCTGACTAGAAGCGATGTTAATTTTGTCTGCAGAAAATTTGAGATTGGTTTCGAATATGTCTACGATGATTTTTTCATGAAGATCAGAAAGGGTGTTTTGTCTGAAAAATGTGACTAGGTATGTGTTTGTGTCTTTTGTCTAGAAGTTGGGAGTTAGAAAATTGAATTTTGGAATAGTCTATTAAAGAGGTGGTTTTATAAAGGCGGGCAAATACATCAAATTCATTTTCGAGAAATTGAGTAGAAGGGGAACCTTCTTCATCACTAGGGTTAAGGGCGTTAACATTCGTTGGTAGTTTAATGCGGGATAGGGCATCGGCATTCTTGTTGGCTTTGCCTGGCTTGTAGACTATTTCATAGTCGTATTCCTCTAACTTGAGGCACCATCTTGCTAACCTACCACCAGTATTACGGCAAGAAAAAAGCCAAGTTAATGGTCGGTGATCTGTGACCAATTTCAATTTTCGACCGTACAAATAGGGTCTAAAATGTTTTACACTCCAAACAATAGCTAGGAGTTCTCTTTCAATCGTAGAGTACCTCGTCTCTGCTTTGCACAGTGTACGAGATACATAGGCTATCGGAAGATCTTTACCAATAGGTCCTTGGGAAAGTACGCCGGATATTGCAAAAGTACTTGCATCCGTAGTAAGCACAAACGGTTCTTCGAAGTTCGGGGTAGGTCAATACAGGAGATGTTGTTAAAGCATTCTTCAAGGTATCGAATGCCTTAATACACTCGCTGTCGAAATCGAAGACTGCATCTTTTTGCAATAGTCTGGTCAAGGGTTTCGCAACTTTAGCAAAATTTGGGATAAAGCGTCGGTAGTAACCGGCAAGACCTAAGAATGATTTTATTTCTTTAGGACTTTTGGGTTGTGGGAAATTTTTTATACAATCCACTTTATCTGGATTGGGCTTAACGCCATCAGGGGTTATTACGTGACCAAGATAGGCTACTTCCTTTCTGAGGAATTCACACTTATCTGGTTGAATCTTAAAACTCGAGTTTCGGAGACGTTTCATTAAAGGGTTCAAATTCTAATTTGGGCAGAATCACATTTTTAGGACTGGCATTACAGTTCAAGACTGTACTGAGAAATTTGCCGTTAGAATTGATTTTGACGATGGAGCTGGGTAGACGGACTTTTTCTACCTCGCATGCCAGAAGAATGGCTTCGGTATTTTTAAGCTCTGACTTAAGCTTCTAGGAGGGACTGAGATGACATTTTGAACTTGGGAATTCTCTTTGAAATTAGAAGTTTGGAGATTTTCTTTGAAATCAGAAGTTTGGGTATTTTCTTCATCACCTACTTTGAAAAGAAGGATGGTTTTGAATTTTGTGATTAATTGACGATTTTTCAAATCGATAATGCAATCGTAGTGCTCGAGGAAATCTGAACCAAGAAGGCCATCGAAAGCAATGTCAAAATCGTGAATATAAATTTTGTGGTAATCGTTGGGAGCAAAGGGAACTAAAACTGCTTCTGTGATAAAAATTTTTTCGTCCGTAATACCTCGGATGGAGATATTTTCGGCAACACGTTTCGTGTAATTTTGGCAGGTGTTTCGTTTGAAAATGGAACAACCGGCACCACTGTCAATAAGGATTTTGAATGTTCCTGTCGCGTCATTGATGTAGTATAAGTTGTTTGGGCTGACGGAGAGGATTGTCGACGGGACTATAATATGTTTATCTAAACGAACATTTGGTCGCGAGTCGGGAGCTGACGTTGTATGAGGGTCTTTGACATTGAGCTTTTGCAAGCTCACAATCATATGATCGGAATCGTCGTTGAGCTTCACAGGCGGTTCTTCTTTCGGAGAACGTTCGCGAAAATCCTGACACTGCATGTTATAATCAGCGGTATCATCGTATTCATAACAGAAATCGTTATTGCTACCAGGGTCAGGGAATTCGTCATACTGCGAGGGGGTGTAAGCAGGGTATTGGGTTTCTGTACCATACTCGCTGGCATAATTTGTATTGTAAAGGTCGGGTTCAGGGTACTCGGAATATTCGTAGCAATCTGGGTCTACGTAGTTGATTCGATTTGTGGAATTGCTTGGTCGGAAGCTTCTTTTGAAGTTAGGATTTTGGAAGCTTGGATTCTGTTGTATAACAGAAAGTCTTGGTACATTCGTATTAGGAACATTTGGCCTAATAACAGAGGGTATGTGATGGTACTGATTGGATCTGGAGGGCCTATTGCTTTGTGTTGGAGGGTTAGAGTTAGTTCGAGGCGAAAATGGTTGGGGCTGGAAAACTGGTCTCGGAATATTATGTGAGAGCTGTTGTCTTCGCGGGCACTCATTTGCTAAATGACCTGGTCGGTGGCAGAAATTGCACACTCTCGGACCTGGTTTCTTAATGGAAGAATTTTGATTAGAGTTAGGAGCTCTAGAAAATTGTTGTCTCTCAAGATATGATAATTGTAGCTCGCGCTTGATAAAAGCGACTGCAGTAAGGATATCTGTTGGGTGACCTGATATTACAATCGGGCCAATTTTGGAATCTAGTCCTGTAAGGAGACAGTTTAGGGTCATGGTCTCTATCAATGAACTTTGAGCAGCTTTTTGCTCTCGGTTTATGTTTTGTCGATTGACGGCTGAATGCATTTTCGCCGCATGAGTTTGAAGTCTTGAGGCAAAGGTTAGTGGGGATTCGTTTGGTAGTTGACGCATATGCTGCAGATCAGCAATTAAGGATGTGAGATCTCGAAGATCTCCGAAATGTGTTTCAAGGAGAGAGCGTATGTCTTCCCATGTCGAAGGGTTACGGGAATTGACGAGTTCTGCTGCTCGTCCGCGCGGTTTGTTTTTTATATGTAGGACGACGAGGAGACGCTGTTCCTCGACGACCATTTGGCGCGCTGTTCTACATGCGTTGATAAAAGTCGAAAGCAATATCGGGTTGCCATCGTATTCAGGGACGATTGAAAGTATTTCGGACAGTCTATAAGGCTCGATGTTTGCATGAGCGTTATCAAGAACTTCAGGTGCTTGGTAATCATCTGATCCGTGCTCTGACATGGTGATTGGAAATATGTTTCAGGAATTCGACAATAGTACGCAAAATATACGAATAAATATGGGAAAATACGTAAAAGGTCGTAAGTAAATGTGAAAAATATAGAAAATGTTGCGCAAAATATGAAAATCACTCAATAAATACGCAAAAATATAGAACTACAGAGATAATTGCAAACGATAGTAGATTCAATTGTACGTTACCAGTGGTACATCAGGAGGCAGTCGTGTTCTCCAGAGGAGGCTCTTGGATCTCTTTCGATGTTTCCAAGTAGACTCTCTGCAGTTGGGTGGCTGCTGCTCGCTGTGCCCTTGTCTTCCTTCTTTTGCTACTTCTCCTTAGTCGTTTTCTTTCTTCTTATTTCTTATTCTTACTTGTAGGCTCGTGGTCCTTTGTAGCTCGAAGGATAGACATCCACCACAGTAGTGAGCGTTCGCGTGTTCTAATGCGTTGAAACTATCCCACTTCTCTGCCACCAATTGTTATATCATTTAAATTCAACTTTACTTTTTTTAAAAATTTATTTGAGGACAGTAGCTACTGTCCGTTACAAACGTTTAGAATTACTTGACTTGACGGAGTCTAACCGGGTATTGAACAACATGAAATGGGCGCAAGGCCTATTTATACTATTGGTGTGCTTACAAAGCACTTCTAGAAAATAAAGCGTAAACAACGAGTTAGCGAGAAGTCGTTATCTGTTGCTGAGCTAGCGTCTGGTGCAACATTGTATGGAATAGTAAGTCCATTGTTTTGAGTGCATATAACATACATGACGGAAAAAAATTAAATTAAAAATTAATTATAAGGTTTATTACATTGTACAGTTGTATTCATAAAAAAAGCGTACACGAATTAGAATGAGAGAAAACCTTAACCTTATTTGCGTAAAACCGGCTTATCGCATGTTAAAGGTTATTAAAAATGCAAAGCATGGGCGTCGGGCATTAGTTCAATACAGTAACAAAAATGTATTTCTTTATTTTACATCTTAACAGTTTTATAAAAATTACAATAGAAACAAAAAACTATTAACAAGAATAAATAAAATCTAATATTTGGTCATATATCCCTGTTTTTCTATTACTTGAGCCAGTCTATTCGGAATTGACTGAATTATATTTGATACAATATTTGGATCAAGCTCTTCCCAGCACGCATGTATTATTTCCCATAAGTCTTCTGAATTTTGTGGCCTAAAATTTCGATTATATATTTTTTTACGATTATACCCCAAATATTTTCGATTGGATTGATATCGGGACTATAAGCGACC